CGATACAAGATGTACCGTCTGTAAAGCGACTTCCTCCCTGGAGCGAGCCAGCAAATAGCAGGTCGTCCAGAGGAAACCACACTCTCATCCCTCCTCTGTGTAGCGGCTCCAGCCTTCTCTACACAAAAATGGGAGGAGCCAGGAAATATCCGAACGGCAGACGATTGTCTGGTCTGATATTCCCTGAAATGAGAAACCGCAGGAATTTCCTGTGTTTCGGGATGATGGGTACGTGGAAGTATGCATCCTTCAGGTGGAAGTGAACCAGTCGTCCTGGTGAACACATTCCAGCACTTAATACTGACGGATCGAGGATGTCTCATTGCCCCAGTCTTTTTCGGGATTAGGCAAATTAACGGGTGAAAACCCCTGATTTTCCTCCCTTTGAGGAACCCTGGAAATATCCTCTTTCAACAGGAGTTCCAGCGGCTCGGATTGGAGCGCAAGACATAGCTTCTGGGAGGACAGGAGTGTTTCCTGTATCCCATTGAACTGTGGGGGGGGGGGAGAGGCGAACTGCAGGGTGTACCCTCTGCTGATCAGCCTACTCATCCATCTGTCCATCAGACACACGCGCTGCCACTCCGATAAACACTCTGAGAGCGGACCCGCTCTCAGAGTGTTTATCGGAGTGCCCATGCTCGAGATGTGTTGTGGTCGTCATGACGACGAGCCCTCGCCGCCGCTGCCCGTGAGGCAACCCAAGGTGGGCCTAGAGCAAAAGGGCTGTGAGGAGGCCTCCACACGCTGCATTTCACTCCGACTCTCATCATGAGACGCGTACACGCTCAGAGGATGAGTGGAGGTGTGTGCAGTGACATCCACATGAGGCGTTACCATGGCGCTCATGGGCTTATTGTGACCGTGTGTAGGTGGCGTATCTCGGACAGAGGAATGCCGCGAGGTCTGTGGTTTAATAACCGAAAAGTCATAACCACCAGGCCTCTGCAGCGAACCCTGCTGCCTACTAATCAACAGATTGGAGGCAGCTGGCCCTGATTTTCTTCCTCTTGGGTAACCCTGGAAATAGCCTCTTTCAACAGGAGTTCCCGTAGCTCTGCTTGGATCGCAAGCCACTGTTCTCGGGATGACAGGCGTGTCTCCTGTATCCCGTTTAACTGTGGGGGGGGGGGAGGCAAACTGCAGGGTGTACCCTCTGCTGATCAGCCTGCTCCTCCATCTGTCCATCAGATACACGCGCTGCCACTCCGAGAAACACTCTGAGAGCGGGCGCACATGCTCGAGATGTGTTGTGGTCGTCATGACGACGAGCCACGCCAGAGCCCTCGCCGCCGCTGCCCGTGAGGCAAACCCAAGGTGGGCCTAGAGCGAAAGGGCTGCGCGGGGGCCTCCACACGCTGCGTCTCACTCTGACTCTCATCATGAGGCGCGTACACGCTCAGGGGATGGATGGAGGTGTGTGCAGTGCTGCCCACATGAGGCGTTATAACTATAATTAAGGCCGTGTGTACGAGGCGTATCTCGGACAGAGGAATGCTGCGAGCTCTGCAGGTTATTAACAGGGGTTAAAACCGGCAGGCTTCTGCAGCGAGCCCTGCTGTCTACTTAATCAACAGATTAGTGGCAGCCGGCTTAATTAGCGAGCTCTGCAGTTTATTAACCGATAGGTTAAAACCAGCAGAATTCTGCAGCGAGCCCTGGCGATGCGGGCGCTGCCGCTGGGGGCACTCAGCCTGGAATACTGCTCTTTCCCCCGTTCTGGCTTCTCTATGATGTGCCGTAATGGTCGTCCTGGTGACGAGCCACGCCATTGCCCTCGCCGCCACTGCCCGTGAGGCGAAAGGGCTGCGAGGAAGCCTCCACACGCTGCGTTTCACTCCGGCTGTCATCATGAGCCGTGTACACGCTCAGGGGATGAGTGGAGGTGTGTGCAGTGCTGTCCACATGAAGCGTTAAAAAAAAAGCGTGTGTAGGAGGCGTATCTTGGACAGAGGAATGCCGCGAGCTCTGCAGGTTATTAACCGATAGGTTAAAACCGGCAGGCTTCTGCAGCGAGCCCTGCTCTCTATTAATTAACAGATTAGTGGCAGCCGGCTTAATTAGCGCGCTCTGAAATGTATTAACCGACAGGTTAAAACCAGGCTTTAGCAACGAGCCCTGCTGGCTATTAACCGAAAGGTTATAGGCAGCTGGTTTACACAGGGCGTGAGGCAACCCCAGGTG